GGGTGCTGGCAGGAGCGCACCAGGGCCCAGCCTGACACCCGTTTCTCTTAAGCTTTTAAATAGTCGCGCTTTGCGGTGGCTCCCAGGGTGCGGGTGTCCCCATTCCCTGAGAGGCAGAGGCCCGGGTGGCTCGGTCCCCTCTGCCCGCCTGGGAGGGCGGTGCCAGGATCTGGGCCCCCGCTGCCCGCTCCCAGGGTGGGAGTTCCTGGCCAGGCCCGCTGCCCTCACGCACCCCTCTCCTGGGAACCCCACTGCTCCCAGGTCCCGGCCTGTCCCCGCACAGAGGGGGAGGGGCCTGTCCCGCACAGAGGGGGAGGGGCCTGTCCCCGCACAGAGGGGGAGGGCCTGTCCCCGCACAGAGGGGGAGGGGCCTGTCCCCGCACAGAGGGGGAGGGGCCTGTCCCCGCACAGAGGGGGAGGGGCCTGTCCCCGCACAGAGGGGGAGGGGCCTGTCCCCGCACAGAGGGGGAGGGGCCTGTCCCCGCACAGAGGGGGAGGGGCCTGTCCCCGCACAGAGGGGGAGGGGGGCCTGTCCCCGCACAGAGGGGGAGGGGCCTGTCCCCGCACAGAGGGGGAGGGCCTGTCCCCGCACGGAGGGGAGGGGCCTGTCCCCTCACAGAGAGGGAGGGGCCTGTCCCCGCACAGAGGGGGGGGGCCTGTCCCTGCACAGAGGGGGAGGGGCCTGTCCCCGCACAGAGGGGGAGGGGCTGTCCCCGCACAGAGGGGGAGGGGCCTGTCCCCGCACAGAGGGGGAGGGGCCTGTTCCCGCACAGAAGGGGAGGGGCCTGTCCCCGCACAGAGGGGAAGGGGGGCCTGTCCCCGTAGAGAGGGGGAGGGGCCTGTCCCTGCACAGAGGGGAAGGGGGGCCTGTCCCCGCACAGAGGGGGAGGGGCCTGTCCCCGCACAGAGGGGGAGGGGGGCCTGTTCCCGCACAGAGGGGGAGGGGCCTGTCCCCGCACAGAGGGGGAGGGGCCTGTCCCCGCACAGAAGGGGAGGGGCCTGTCCCCGCAAGAGGGGGAGGGGCCTGTCCCCGCACAGAGGGGGAGGGGCCTGTCCCTGCACAGAGGGGGAGGGGCCTGTCCCTGCACAGAGGGGGAGGGGGCTGTCCCCGCACAGAGGGGGGAGGGGCTTTCTCCCCCCACCGCTGGGCTCAGCCTCCGGCTGGGAGAGGCCCTGGGACCGCCAGCCGCTCGGCGGGAGGAGCAGGCTGGCGAGCAAGGACACTCGGCGGGGAGACGCATCGTTTCCTTCTCAAGGAGACAGCACGCCCTGGATCGCGTCCATGCTGCCACGAGTCAGAAAAAAGGATAGGATCGCTCTACAGGGCAGTTTGAGCATTTATATCAAAACCTTTCAAATGTGCTGCGTGGGCACATCCTGTAGCTGTTACTTCCACTTCCAGGAGACATATCCTAAGGAAACGTTTGCACAGGTGAGCAAAGGTGAGGCGCAAGGACGTCCGAGCCGCACTGCGTAAACAGCAAGGAATCGAAAACAGGGCGAGTAGCCAGAAAGAGAGCCGTCTAAATAAACCTAATATCATACATCCATACAATGTGAATGCCGTTGCTGAGTTTAAAACAGGCTACCTAAGCTGTGTACATTTTTATGCCATTTCCATTAAAAGTCTCCATCAGTAAAGAAAAATGTGGCCCAGCTGGGGTGGCTCAGCGGTTGGGCATTGACCTATGAACCAGGAGGTCACAGTTCTATTCCCAATCAGAGCATATGCCCAGGGTGCGGGCTCAATCCCCGGGGGGGGGGGGGGGCGTGCAGGAGGCAGAAGATCCATGATTCTCTCTCATCATTGATCTTTCTCTCTCTCCCTCTCCCTTCCTCTCTGAAAGTAATGAAAATATTCTTTTTTTAAAAGAAAGAAAAATCTGGAAGAGAATGCATGAAATGTGAACTAACAAATGATCTCTGGAGACTAATGCCCCAGATGATTCTCCTTTCTTTTTTCCTTTTTTTGTTTTCTGATTTTTTTTTTCTAATGTTAACATCCTACGAAGGTGTATATTTTTTTTAAATATATTTTATTTATATTTTACAGAGAGGAGGAAGGGAGAGAGATAGAGAGCTAGAAACGTCAATGAGAGAGAAACATCGATCAGCTGCCTCTTGCACACCCCCTACTGGGGATGTGCCCGCAACCAATGTACATGCCCTTGACCGGAATTGAACCCGGGACCTTTCAGTTCGCAGGCCGATGCTCTATCCACTGAGCCAAACCAGCTAGGGCCACTGTGGATACTTTTGTATCCTTTGACTTTGGAATCACCTAAGTTTATCTTTTCACAAATATAAACTAAATTTTATATTAAATTTGGTAACCAAAAAAAAAAAAAAAAAAAGATTCAAGGAGCATCTGACATTTTACAAACTCCACTTTTGTGCAGCCGTAACTGTGGAAGGAAACTGTTTACATCGGCGTTACACACTCAAATACGAGAGGGTCCAGGGAAATAAGTGAAGCAGAGCTGGCGGGAACCATAGGGAGTGGTGAGGACTGTGGCAAACTGGCAAGCAGACGCCTGTCTCTGTGGCCACACATTTCTGCTCCAGCTGATGAGGCCAAGCAGAAAGGCTGTCCCAGCTGAAACTGGTTTGGCTCAGTGGATAGAGCGTCGGCCTGCGAACTGAAAGGTCCCGGGTTTGATTCCGGTCAAGAGCATGTACCTTGGTTGCGGGCACATCCCCAGCAGGGGGTGTGCAAGAGGCAGCTGATTGATGATTCTCTCTCGTCAATGTTTCTAACTCTCTATTCCTCTCTCTTCCTTTCTGTAAAAAATCAACAAAAATATTTTTTTTAAAAAAAAGGCTGTCCCAGCGCTGTCAGCCCTTGCAATTTATCAATGAAAGTCATATCCAGAGTTCTGTATGTATTTTCTCATGTTAAAACATGTGCTACCAAAAACAGTCTCCGTATGCCAGGCACAGGCGGCCAGTTTGCAATCCCCCCTGCATCCGTGGACTGTTCTCAGAAAGCCCAGGGACAGGGAGGCACCACTTGCCCGGAGCCGAAGGGTGGCTGTGCAGGGCACAGGCAGAAAGCGGCACCTGGCTTCAGTCCAACAGCAGTGGGCGAGCTTGGGGAGTGTGCGGGGAGTCAAGTCCTCTCGGGGGAATCAGCATTTCAACTGAGAGCAGCCAAGAGTCCAAGCTGCTCTCCAAGGCCATTTTAAGAGAATTAGAGCCCCCTGAAAGAGACAGCTGCCATGTAAGACTGGGCTGGTCCGAGGTCAAAGTCAAGGTGGAGAACAGACTGCCAGTACCCTCCCTGCCTCCGGCCTCCCGGCACTCTGCAGGTCCACACCCTGTGAGCCTTCGGCCCAGGTCACATTGTCCCTCCCTGCAGTGACCACACGGAGCAGAGGTGGGACCGCCCGGAGCTGGCTCGTCCTGCTGGGCCCAGCCCTCCCCCACCCACCAGACTCCTCTGGGTGGCACTTCCAGCCTCTGAGCCCGTCCCTTCCCCCGTGGACTGAGGCCCAGAGCTCCCCTCACAGGGGCCGTGACTCGTGTGGGATGAAGGATAAGGAACCTGAGAGTGAGAGACCATTTCTCATCCGTCAGATCAGCATAAGTTTTAAAGTGATAATACTCGGTGCTTGTGACCATATGACAGGGGGCCTTTTCAGGTCCTGCTTCTGAGACTGTCAGTGCAATAGTTACTAGGATCATTTGAAAGTCTATGTCAGAGTGTCTACCGGAGTCTGCAGGCAAATCTATAGGGACAGGCCTCCGATGAGAGGGTGCCCAGGTCAAGGGTGTTGAGGGGAAATGGGGAGTGACTACCAATGGGTAGTTTCTTTGGGGGGGGGAGGGGGACAAAACTGTCCTAAAATAGATTGTAGTGATGGTTGCACAGCTCAAATACCCTAAAAACCATTGAATTGTCCTCTTAAATGGGTGGACAATATGGTGTGTTCTAATGCACAGATGTATGTACAAACGTGCTTGTCTCCGCAGCATTTACGACAGAAAGCTTTCAGCAGTGCACCCCGCTGGCCACTGGAACCCAAAAGAAGATCCCTACCACCACCCCCACCACCACCCCCCCCACACACACACACACACATCCGGCTACAAACACCAAGAAAACAGGATAGAAAGCTGACTGGGAGCTAAGTCCTGATCACATTTGCACCTGGATCAGGCCTTACCTGAAGCTACCCTGGATTGAGTAATTACAAGAACCTGAAATTCCTGTTCCTCTAAAGCCAGGTTAGGGTGGGTTTTCTGTGACTTACAACCGAGAGAGCTGTGAATGTGCGCACAGAGCTGCCCAGTTCGACACCCGAGATGCCTGGTCCCCACAGCCCACACAAGAGCCAGGGACAAAGGAGGGGCCTCTGGCCAAGCAGGTTCGCCCCAGGCCCCACAGCTGTTGGCCTGCCTGCCCCAGGCCTCCGCCCACACACCCCATCAACAGGCAGATGCCACAGGAGCACTGGGCGGGTTTTTATTTTAATGTCAAAGGCACAGCCTTCCAGATGAGCTGAGGCAGTGACTGTGGGTGCCCAGCCCGAACCCCAAGCCACCCCACCCCCGCCAGGGGCAGCTGTGCCAGAGGGGAGGGGTGGGTAAGGAGGGGGCCTCCCCTTCAGGGGGCCGCCTACCTCCTTCCTTACCCCAACAGGAGAGAAGCAGGGGACACAAAGTGAGGCAATAATGCTTCAGGGGGTCCCCCAGGCCTCTCCCTGAACCCCCAACACAGGTCTTTGGTGGACGGAATTGCACAGACAGTTCATAAAGTGACAGCTTGGGGGCCTGGGGAGGCAGGGGCAGGCCCAGCTTCTCCCGGGGCCCCTCAGTGCTTAGAAACGGGCGGAGCCCCAGAGACCCCCCTCCCCGGCGGGCCCCCTCCCTGCATCTCTATCCGGTAAGACATAAAAAATTCTCTGCTTATAAAAATACTCTGCTCTGTCCGGGGGTGGGGCGGAGTGGAGCCGGAGCGTGGAGGCCAGTCAGCCCCGGGGAAGGGTCACAGTGCGGGGCTAGGACGGGGGCAGGGGGCCGTTGGCTCGGCGGGCGGCTCCCTTGGCCGCGGGGGCCCGGCCCGGGGCGGCGGGCGCCGGGGAGGCCCGGCGGGAGGCGGCGGCGCTCCGCAGCTTCAGTTTCCGCCGCTTGGCCAGCGGCGCGTTCTCCACGCTCTTCAGGAAGAAGCCCTCGCGCTTGCCCCGGTTGAAGGCCTGCAGAACGGGGGGTGGGGGTGAGCCCCCACCACGGCGGTCCTCACCCTAGACCCCAGCTTCCCCCCTTCTCCTTCCTGAACCCTCCCTCCCAGCCACCCCACAACAGGCCTGGCCTCCGACCTCCAGCACCCCCAAAGGTCAGGCCCCTAAGGCCAGAGACCAGGACTCAGCTACCCCACCGCACCTTGCAGGGCGTGGAGCCCCAGCCTCCGCAGGCCCCGCCTCCCAAGTCTGTCCACCCCACACCCACCCGAGGCCCCGCCTCCTGGGTCTGTCCACCCCACACCCACCCGAGGCCCCGCCTCCCGGGTCTGACCACCCCACACCCACCCGAGGCCCCGCCTCCCAGGTCTGTCCACCCCACACCCACCCGAGGCCCCGCCTCCTGGGTCTGTCCACCCCACACCCACCCGAGGCCCCGCCTCCCGGGTCTGACCACCCCACACCCACCCGCAGGCCCTGCCTCCCAGGTCTGTCCACCCCACACCCACCCGAGGCCCGGCCTCCCGGGTCTGTCCACCCCACACCCTCCCGCAGGCCCCACCTCCCAGGCCCGTCCACACCGTCCTGAGGCCCCGCCTCCCAGTCCTGACCACACCCTCCCGAGGCCCCGCCTCCCAGGTCTGATCACACCTTCCCGAGGCCCCGCCTCCCAGTTCTGACCACACCCTCCCGAGGCCCCGCCTCCCAGGCCCGTCCACACCCACCGGAGGCCCCGCCTCCCAGGCCCAGCCACACCCTCCCGAGGCCCCGCCTCCCAGGCCCAGCCACACCCTCCCGACGCCCCTCCCTCACCAAGAAGGTGGCGTTGAGACCCGAGCGCACGGCCGGTCCCGAGGACTCGAGCACGTCCGGCGTCCGGAGCGGGGGCGAGGAGCGCGCGCTGCCGTCCTGCAGCCACGAGCTGCCCCGCAGCCCCTCGAGCTTCAGCCTCTTGGCCGGGTCCACGGTTAGGAGCCCTGGAGGTGGGTGGGGAGTACTGGGTGGTGTGCGATCCCAACAGCCCCTCCCCTCCCGCCCAGGACACCGGACCCCGTGGCCTCCTCCTCCCGGAGCCACCTGGGGCTTCCCCTCCCTGCAGGACCCTGTGACTCCCCCTCCCCAGAGACCCCCTGTGCTGGCTCTGCACCTCGGACCAGCTCCTTGGCTTCCTCGGACACGCTCTGCCAGGCCTCGCCGTCCAGGGAGAAGCGCCCCTCGCGGATCTTGCACATGATCTCGGCCGCCTGGCTCTGCCCACCCTGGCCCGAGGCCCCCTGGAAGGGGACCTGCCCCGACAGCATCATGTACTGGGGACGGGAGGGGAGGGGAGGGAGAGGGGGTGGAGGAGTGAGACCAGCGGCCCGGGAGGCCAGGAGGCTGACTCTCAGCCCACCCCTGGCCCGTCCACCCTCTGCTGGGGGGTCACTCCGAGGCCCATGGCAATGACCCGACCTCCCACCTGGATCACTCAGACGCCCCAGCCCAGCACCAGTGCGACCCCGCCTCAGTGTTAGGACAACCTCTGACCCCGGCCTCATATCACACCCTGCCCCCCATCCAGGTGACCTGCCCGCGGCGCCCTGCTGCCCTTCATCGGGGGCCTCTGACCGCGGACCGGGCGCCCTGAGCCCCGCGCGGCCGGCCCGTACCAGGATGACGCCGAGGCTCCAGAGGTCGCAGGACTCGTCGTAGCCCTGCCGCGCCAGCAGCTCGGGCGCCGCGTACTGCAGCGTGAAGCAGGGCGTCTGCATGGGCCCCGCGGGGCTCTGCGGCCGCAGCCGCGCGAACCCGAAGTCGATGATCTTCACCGGGGCTCCGGGGGTGTCGTCGGCGTACAGGATGTTCTGTGCGGGGCGCGGGCCGTCAGGGACCGGCCCCCCCCCCACCCATCCCACTCCCACCCGCTGCCAGGCCGGCGCCCACCTCGGGCTTGAGGTCGCGGTGCACCACGCCCGCCTCCTCGTGCATGAAGCTCACGGCGGACACCAGGCTGCGCAGGATCTGGCTCGCCTCGGACTCGCTGAAGTGCCGCTTCTTGCGGATGTGCTCCAGCAGCTCCCCGCCCCGCAGCAGCTCCAGGACCAGGTACGTGTGCAGCTGCGGCGACAGGCCGCCCGGTCACCGGTCACCGCGACCCGCCAGGCAGCCCCACCGCCCGGCCCCGCCCCGCCCCAGCCCTGCCGGGGCCTCAGACTTGAACTTGTCCCAGCCCGTGAGACCCACCCTCCTGCCCTCCAGGCCCCGCCCCGATGGCCCCCTTAACCCCGCCCCCTCCACCCCCTCCTCCAATGTCATTCCCTCGGCGTCCCCAGCTCAGCTTCCGGTCCTCCAGGCTCCTCCCCTCAAACCCTCTCCGGCCCCTGGCCACGCCCACCGCGTCCGCAAGCCCCGCCCCGCCCCGCTCTCCCCGCCGCTTCCGGCATCCCTCCCGGCGGCACCTGGTCCTGATGCACCTCGTGCAGCTTCACCACGTTGGGGTGCGACTGGCACAGCCGCAGGGCGGCCACCTCGCGCTGGGTGTTCGCCTCCAGCCTGGGCGGGCAGAGCAGACGGGTCAGGACGAGGGCCGGGGCCCGCCCTCCCGGACCCAGCTCCTCCCGGGATCCTCACCTGCGGCTGAGGATCTTGACCGCGAACTCCTGGCCGCCCTGGCGCTGGCGGCAGCGGCGACACACGGAGAAGCTGCCCTGGCCCAGCGCGGGCTCCCGCAGGTCCAGCTCGTACTGCTGGAAGAAGGGCGAGTCCTGGGGGCACAGGGGGTGTCAGGTCCTACGGGGCGCCTGGAGGCCGTGCCCCATCTCGCAGAGGTCCCGGGTTTCACCGCCGTCACACCTTGGGCGCGCCTGGCAGAGCCAGGTCCCGAACCCCCGGCCCAGCCGCCCTACCTGCATCATGGCGCTGCGGGCCACCGCCGCCCGGCCCGGCCGGTCTCCGGAGCCAGGTGCCTCCAGCACATCCGTCATCACAGCGTTGTTGTGGTCAAACAGGATGGACGGCGCCACGAAGGAGTATCCCTGGATGGGGAGGGAGGCGGTCAGGCACAGATGGGTGTGGGGGGCTGGACGTGGTGGGGGAGACCCCAGACCAGGAGGGGGGTTGCTTTTACATCCTGACACAACAGGATGTGTGGACATTTTATTTCAAGTTGCGGTCATGTCTGTCCCCCACCAGTCTGTGACTCCACCTTTCACATGACAGTAGCCCACCCTCTGTCATCCCCCCCACCTTAAATCTTAAGAGGATGTGGGCCCGGAATTGCGGGGACAACCTGAGGCTCTAAGGACGAAGTGCCGGTGCAGAAAAGGAGCCCCAAGAGGCAGGCTCCTCATGGTGGGGCTCCGCACCCGGACGCAGCCTTGGAGGCATCCCCGGGCACAGTGCCGCGGCCCGAAGAGGCTCAGGTAATGCAAGGGAGGACGGTGACCTGGCATCACGCCTGTGCCACCGAGGACAAAAGTCTTTATTCCTTCCTTTCAAGTCAAGCGTTGGCCTCCTCTGCAAGGAGGGAGCTCTGAGGCCAAGCAAACAGAAACCAGAGAGGCCACGTCGCCTTCCTCAGGACCATGTCCGTGCCCTGTGCGCTAGCGTGCAGTCTCCACGTGGGTTGGATCATTTCCTGTTAGGTTCATCCCCAGTGCCCGGATCTGTCCCTGGCACATTGTAGGCACTCAGCACATATTTCTGAGTCATGGAATGAATGAATGAGTGAGTGAATGAATGTGAGTGACCATCCATTTGCGAGAAAGAACTTTCTCAGAACTGAGACAACGGATCGAGAGATGCTCAAGCCCAGAGCTGTCACTCATGAGAGCTTCCGGAGGACACTGACCCGTCCATAGTGGACACTGGCCTATTCCTATCTAATAGACGTAGACCAGGCCCTACAGCCAGGCCCCACACTGGGCACGGGGACGGGACATTAACCAACAGCTCCCGCCTCCAGGAGCCACACCGGGGAGGCAGTCTCCGGTGGGCTGCCAGGACACAGCCTGACAAAGTGCTCAGAGGTGCTGTCTGCAGGGGACTGTGCACGGGCAAGTGCAGCCAGGGCCGTGGGAGTGGGGGAGCCCCCCCCTGGGGCCATAGGAGTGGGGGAGCCTCCCCTGGGGCCATGGGAGTGGGGGAGCCTCCCCTGGGGCCATGGGAGTGGGGGAGCCTCCCCCAGGGGGCAGCGCTGGGCCATGGGAGTGGGGAGCCTCCCCCGGGGCAGCACTAGGCCATGGGAGTGGGGAGCCTCCCCCAGGGGGCAGCGCTGGGCCATGGGAGTGGGGAGCCTCCCCCGGGGCAGCACTGGCCACCGCAGTAGAAGGTCCAGAGAGCTTGCCAGGGGAGGGACAGGGGGGAGGTACTCCGGTGGAGGGACTACATGTGCCAAGGGGCAGGGTGTGGTGTGGAAGCTGTGACAGCCCACTGCTGCTGAAGCGCCAAGAGGGACGATGGCGCGCGCGGAGGCTGGGCTCAGACAAGGCCGCCGGGCAGGCCTGGAGTCCCGAGCACAGGCATGAGCCGTGTCTAACAGGCCTGAGCTGCTAGCACTGGGCGGATGGGGTCTGTGCCCCAGGAATGTGATACGGTATGCCAATGGGCATACCAAGCCACAGAATAAATACGGCATCTCTTCCTAGGTGTCTGCTTAAGCAAGTGGATAATTTAAAACAGTATGTTTATGTACCAATAAAGAGTTACGATGGAGAAAAAGGAAAATTAACGTGGGATTTAAAGATAAACCATGACGTTCAAAGACGTGTCCCGCCACGTGATCTCCGTGACTGACAGCGCCAGGGCCCCACGAGCAGAGAGGGAGACGCGGAGTCCTGATGAGCCTCGGGGCTGATGAAGGGCCCGGCTGGCCCTCACTCACCTGGAAGACGCGCGAGTCCCCGGACGGGGGGCTGCCGGCAGGGGAGTAGACAGGCTCCAGCCGAGTGAACTCTTCTGCGAAGTTGCTCACATCCAGCTCTGAGCGGATCTGGGGTCGGAATGGAGCTGGGATCTTCCTGGCGGCCAGAGCGGCCCAGTCCAGACCCTGGAGAGGAGAAAGGAGAGGCTGAGCACCGAAGGGCAGGGAGGGGAAATTCCTCTCCGCTCAGGCCCCCGTCTCTGCTCAGCGCCTCAGTGACATAACAGGCGGCCTGGCCTTGGGGGGGAAGGTGTTATTCTCGCCTCTCCAGCCTGTTTCCCTCCCTTTGATGCCCAAGTCCTGTTCCCTCGGAGAACCACCCTCCACCACGCTCCATCAGCTCTGGGACTTTGGATAGAAGTGGCTAGCAAAGCAAGTATCTTCCCCCATCACACTTAAATCTCAGAGGACACAGGCCTGGCGTTGCCGGGAACAATCTCGGGGGTCTGATGACGAAGTCCCTGTGCAACCACGAGACAAAGAGAATCCTAACCATGTAGGTTCAGCACCTGGATGCAGCCTTACCTGAAGCCGGCCCACTTCTCCTTCACCTTTTCTCCCATGGAAGCTAAGACAAGCCCTTTTATATGTAAGCGCGTGTGGCAGAGCCTGTCCATCACCTGCCCAGCATTCCTAGCCTCTGTCTCCCTGGGTTCCACGGCCCCAATTTAATTCCAGGAAGCAATGTGCAAACCAACACGATCTTTTACAAACTTCCTTATGGTTAGGAGTGACCAATAACTTGCAAGCAAATATTACGAGGTAGGAATCAAGGCCAAGGTCCTCCAGAGAAGGGTGGACAATTGGCAAATGCCCTTTTGGCCCTTCCCCTCCTCTTCCCTGCCTGGATACCAGCCTGGATGGCAAGTGCTCCAGCAGTCATACTGGACCAGGAAGCAGACCTGGGGATGGAGGCTCCATGCTAAAAATGGAGGGCCATTAAAAAAAAAAAAAAAAAAAAAAAAAAAGCTTGGATCCAGGAAGATGCCATAGCGGTGCCAACCCACCCCAGCACCAGGGCCCAGCGTGCACTCAGGGTGGGTGGAGGAATTCCCTTAAGGAAACGCACTGGCTCAGCCGCTTCCCCGGCAGAGCAGTCCCTTCCCTGCAGACCTAGACTCCGGGCTGAGGAAGCATCTCCCAGCCCCTACAAGGCGGGTATTTGCAGGGAAGACTCCAGATGACACTCGTAAAAGGGTGCTGAGTGCCTGCCCCCCCAACCAATGCCCGCAAACGGGTGCCTTTGTCACACCAGACAAGGGACAAATCTGACGCCCGCATGTAAACAAGGGAGCGAGGGCCTGACGGAGGTCTGAATCTGAGCCCCACTGCTTCTGGCCTGGGTGATCTTGGGCAAATGACTTGACCTCTCGGAACCTCTTTCCTCATCTATAAAGAGGGGCTTTGTGTTTCAGTGATCGATCCATGAACCAGGAGGTCACAGTTCAATTCCAAGTCAGGGCACGTGCCCCGCTGGCAGGCTCCGTCCCCAGCAGGAGGCATGCAGGAGGCAGCCGATCGATAATCCTCTCATCATCAATGTTTCTCTCTCTGTCTCTCTCCCTACCTCTCTCTCTCTGAAATCAATAAAAACATATTAAGAAGATGAGAATAAAGAGGATGGTTCTGAGGTTTTACGTGAAGTAACACAAGCGAAGGGGCTGATGGAGGGGGGCACGAGGCCTGGTTGGAAAGTGTGGAAGGAGGGAATTCTGAAGGGAGCTGGCTGAAGGCCGCCCCTCGTTGTTCCCTGACCTTTCCAAACAAGTCTGTGCACTGCGGACCCTCGGGTTTCTGTCAGAGTCTTTACGCTTAATCTCTGGGTGTCCTGCTTAAAGGACACTGCAGACACACATGTCCTCCCAGGATCACTTCCCCTGCTGACTGTATCTAAAAGATAAACTTTATCCCAAACCACTGTCACCAGAAAAGCCTGAAGCAGTAGGCGAACAAGGCTGTTTAGTTCTTACAGCCAGGCAGTCCCTTAGCCCTCTCTTCACAACAAACCTGTGTCAGCCATCATTCACCCATCGCTCAGAGTTGCTGGTCAGCCCCGGCAGGCTGACACACAGTAGGTGTCCACTGTTACAGGACCCTGCTGGGCCCTGACACTGGCCATGCAGAGCACCCGCCAGAGAGGCCTCACATGGAGACAAATTCCCTCTGCTCTGCACTCTAACCTGCGTATGCTCCTAGCAAGTAAATAAAACCCAGCGACTAATGGACCGTCCATCTAAATGCAGGGACAAAGAACAAAATGCATGGGTGGGTGTAACAGCCACCGTGTGGCTTTTCGTGCTGATATGGGCTGACAGGAGACGGGGGTCTGTGTCCGGTTCCACACGTTCACTGTACGATCCTGGGTAGGTCACCTCCCTTCCCTGAGCCTATCCAATGGAAGGACTGGCGAACCCATTCCCACGTCCTGGCAGTCCTGACAGTGGATGAACCTAGAATTCTTTCCCCCAGGAACACACATCTCCCGAGTTTCGCTAGAGATGGGTGGGAAGATAAGCCTGCTTCCCTGACCTGCAGATTTTTTCTTTTTTAAAAAAGTTAATATATTTTTACTGATTTCAGAGAGGAAAGGAGAGGGAGAGAAACATCAATAATGAGAATCATTGATCGGCTGCCTCTGCACACTCCCTACTGGTGACTGAGTGTGCAACCGAGGCATGTACTCTGACCGGGAATTGAACCATGATCTCCTGGTTCATAGGCCCACCACTGAGCCACACCAGCTGGGCGGGATTCTTCTAAATCGAGTGAAATTGGCCAGTCTCACATCCCTCCCGTGTCCCCAGGCCAGGGCAGCAGCTCACCTGGAAGAAACGGTGGCTCTTGACTTCCTGTGCGCCCTGGGGCCCCGCGCCCAGCCGCTTCCTGGGATCCTTGCAAAGCAGCCGCTGCAGCAGGTCCTGCGCCACTGGCCCGATCCGAGAGGGGAAGGGAGGGGAGCACTTCAGGATCCGTCTGGGAGGATTTGGGGGGCGTCAGGGGCAGCGAGTCCCACCCACAGCCCAGCTCAGCCACCTCAGCCGCCCAACTTGCTGCCTCCGGCCCCGCTCACCGGGACACCTCTGCCTGCGTGTTCCTCTCGCCCTCCAGCGTGAAGGGCGAGGCCCCCGTCAGCAGCTCAAAGATCAGGATGCCCAGGCTCCACCAGTCCACGGCCTGCGGGGCAGGCCAAGGTGAGGGCCCGCGGCCACCCGAGGCCCCCCTCTCGTCCCCCCCACCACTCCCCTGCCAGCCCACCTTGCCGTGCCCCGACTTGCTGCGGATGATCTCGGGGGCCATGTACTCGATGGTGCCGCAGAAGGAGAAGGTCCGCTCTTTCTGGGAGGGCAAGGGGGCCCGTTATGGACGCCCGGCAGCTCCCAGGGCTCCGCGTAGGGTTCAGGGGACTTGTGAGGGCGGGAGCAGTGGCAGCCTCCTGAGCACAGGGTGCGGGGCTGTCTCCCTCTGCCGCGCCCCCCACCACCACCGAGAAACGCAGAGCAGGGGGAGCAGGAGCAGGAGAAGGTGGCGGCCCGGGTGCCTCCGCTCACCTCCTCCGTCAGGAACTCCTTGCTCAGCCCGAAGTCTGTGAGCACGATGTGGCCCTCCGAGTCCAGCAGCACGTTCTCCAGCTTCAGGTCTCGGTAGATGATGCCCAGCTGCGGAGCAGGAGGGGCACTGAGCCTCCTTCACCCCCCCATCCCTCTCCCCCCCCCTACACACACACACATACACACACACACACACGCACACACACGCGCACACGCACACACACGCGCACACGCACACACACGCGCGCACACACACTCGCACATGCACGCACACGCGCGCACACAGGCCGCTGCTCAGGAGACGGGATCTCCAGGGCGGGGGGGGGGGGGGGGGGGGTGACTGAGTCACTGGACCGAACAGGCTGTTTAAAGGAGCAAAGACAAGGAAGGAGGACTCCGTGGGGGCTCCCGGGGGAGCACCCCGAGGCCCAGAGACGGGAGAGCTGTGTGAAGAGCCCGTTTCAAACGGCTTCGGAAGCCGAGGCACAATCTCGGTTTGAGGAAGTTCTGTGAACGCGGCCCCACAAGGCAACCCCGAGTTCCCTGTGAGAGGAAAGCCCCTTGGAGGTGCCAGGGGAGACCCCGCCAGGTGGCTGTGGCCCCCCCTCCAGGAGGCCGGGGCAACAGCTCGGGTGCCCAGCACCCCCAGGAGGCCCTGGGAGAGGGCCCGGAGGCTGGCCTGTCTGGAGGCCCTTGAGGAGCCGGACATCGCCACGGCAGCAGGGGGGCAGGCCCGCACCCACCTTGTGCAGGTGCTCCAGCGCCAGCACGATCTCGCCGGCGTACACGCGCACCTCGGCCTCCGTGAAGCGCTGGCGCTGGTAGAGGTGGGTGAACATCTCGCCCCCGTTCACATAGTCTGGGGGTGGATCGGAGGTTGGGAAGCAGTCGCCACGAGGGTTAGGGTCAGGGTCAGGGTCAGGGTCAGGGTTAGGGTCCCCGGCCCCCAGGTCGGCGGGGTGCCCTCACTCACCCAGGATGAGGTGCAGCTTGGCGTCCGTCTGGAAGGCGTAGTGCAGGGTGACCAGGAAGGGCGCCTGGCGCACCAGCTCCAGCACCGAGCGCTCGGTGCGCGTGTGCTCCCGCGTCTTGGCGCGCTGCACCAGGGCCGCCTTGCGCAGCACCTTCATGGCGTACAGCCGCCCCGCGTCGTGCCCGCCCGCCTTCCGCACCAGGAACACCTTCCCGTAGGCTGCGGGGCAGGGAGCGGGCGGGGGGCTGTGAGCAGACGGTGGCACAGGCTGGTGGGTGTGGGAATGGTGCCAACCCAGAAGGGCGTGCGATGGGAGGACAGAGCTGGGGAGAGGAGGGAGAGGGTGCACAGCCCGGGAGGGCGCTCTGCACAGCGGGGGGCGGAGGGGGCAGCAGGCGGGGGGGGGAGGGGAGCGTGCACCTCCCGGAGGCTGCAGAGCACGGTGGGGGCGGGCGTGTGCAAACCCGTGGCAGACCCGGCTGATCTGAGAGGATGCAAATCCTGGGAGGGGGCAGGGGTGCACGCGGACAGGGATGGGATGTGCCAGCCTGAGCTGGGAGTTTGCAGAGCGGGGAGAGAGCACCCACACAGCCAGGAGGGGAGCTCTCTCACCCCTGGGGAGGGTGCGAGCACCCAAGGGTGTGGACACACTCGGGAGGCCCTGAGAGTGGGATGCAAACCCTGGCGCCAGGGCGGGGCGGCGGGCGCCCTGCCAGGGAAGGGTGGGGGGCCCAGGCGGGCGCGGCGGGGAGGCCCAGGGCACCGGCCGGGCCCGGGGCCGGCTGCCCGCGGGCGGGTCCTCACCTCCCGTGCCCAGCACCTTGAGCAGCTCGAAGTTCTCCACGCTCACCCTCTCCTCGTGCCCCGTCAGGTTGGCTGTGGGCAGGGGACGGGGTGAGCCGGCCGGGGCATGACCCTCCCGCCGGCACCCACCCCCTCCCCAGGCCCGGCGCCCGCCGCACCCTCCGTGATCCGCAGCTCCACGGCGCAGCCCTCGTCCTCGTCCTCGTCCCCCATGGCGGCGGGGCCCGCGCTGCTGGCTCCGGGCGGCGGGCTCCGGGCGGGCGGCTCCGGCGCCGGTTACATGGCGGCGCGGCCGGGGCGGCGCTTCCTGGTCCGCCTGCGGGTCGGCTCGGGCGCCGGCGCCGCCCCCGCCCCGCCCCGCGGCCCCACTCCGCCCCGCCCCCGCCCCGCCCAGCGGCCTGGCTCCGCCCCGCCCGCGGCCCCACTCCGCCCCGCCCCGCCCTGCGGCCCGACTCCGTCCCGGCCCGGCCCCGCCCCCCTCCCTGCCCCGCGGCCCCACTCCGCCCCGCTCCCCGCCCCGCCCAGCGGCCTGACTCCGCCCCCGCCCCGCCCCGCAGCCCCACTCCGCCCCGCCCCGCGGCATGACTCCGCCCCCGCTGCGGGCTCCACTCCGCCCGGAGCATGACGGCGGTGGCTGCGGGGGAGGGACACCCGGGCTGCGCGCTCCCTGACCGCACGCGACCCCGCAAGGACCTTGGAACTCTGCCCCCACGGTGCCCTGCAGCCTCCTGGAGGTGCATGCCACCCCCCCTCCCCCCGCCCCACCTCGCCTGCTGGCGCCAGGCCTGGTCGGAGGGTAACCTGGGGCCGCAGCGGCAGGCCTCCCCGGCAGGTGTCTGCACCGGGTCCGATGCTGATGGGGCCAGCGGTGCTGACCCGGAGCCTGTGCCCCTAGGGGGGTCCCCAGGAACCTCAGAGCCTTCCCGGGGCGCCCTCAGCCAGCAGGGAAAACCGGGTTTCATCAGGTTCCCGCCCTCATCACGCCTTAAAGGCTGCCGATGGGGAGGGTCTGCAGTCCCCTGGACAGATGAGCCCGCCGCCTGAGCCACAGGCTGCCCGGTCCAGCTGCTGCCAGCCTGCACCCAGCACCCAGCACCCTCACTCAGGGTGGCCGCCGCTGGGTGCTGGGCAGCCCAAGAGGGTGTTTGATCCCGGGAGCCCCGCAGCCCCTCTGAGACCTCTCCCCTGGGGCTCGCCTTTGGGGCCGGGGGAGGGGAGGGGTGTCTAGGAGCTCAGGTGCCCTGAGAACCAAAGCGGGGTCCCTGAGCTCCCCCTTCGCAGGGAGCACCTCCAGGGGTGTGGAGAGGGCGGGAGCCGGCCCCCCTGGCAGGGAGAGGGGGGAATCTGGCCTGTAAAGGGACCTCAGCCTCAGCACCCTGCACAGCCCGCCCCGTGCCACATGCCCACGCCTGGCCGTGCCAGCAGAGCTTGGAGTAGGCCTCAAAGAGGGGTCAGTCCTAGCCGGTAGCTCAGTCCTGACACGCCAAGGTTGTGGGTCCGACCCCTGCTCAGGGCACAGGCAACCGATGAGTGCATATACAAGTGGCACAGCAACCCATGCTTCTTCTCTCAAATCAATAAATATTTTTCATTTTGTTTTAAAGGCGTGAGAGAGCCGCACAGGGTGGCCTCCTGAGCCTCTTCGCTCCGGATAACTGACAGGAGCCACCCACGGGGGGGGGGAGGGGGGGACACGACACACAGACATCAAACTCCCTCCTTGCTTATGGGAGGGGCTTCCAGCTTTCAGCCGGAGGCCAGGCCCCTCCCCCCGCCCCAGCAGCCTCTGAAGCTGGAGCTAAGGGGGCAGGCAGAGTGGTAGCTCATGCCCAGGGCCTGCAGAAACCCGTGAGTCGGGCTGCAGGTCACCCTGAGTAGGCTACCCCCAGCTCTGCCCCTCCCACCCTCCTCTCCCTGCCCCCCCCCTTCAGGCTGCCTCACCTTCACCTGGGCAGCCCCGCCCTATCCTGGGCGGCCCAGGTGCCTGACTCACGTCCGGCCACCAGCATCATCGCCCCCTTCCTGGATGTCGCCCTGGGTGCCTGTGTCCACACTCCGGCACCGCCACCCCAGCTCAGCTCTAGCTGACACTCCAGGCCGGCGCTCCCTGGGGAGGCTCAGCCAAGTGGTGGGGAGGTGGGGGGGACAGAAAAAAGTGAGAGGAGAGAAGAGGATGCCAGGGAGGGCAGGGCAGGTCCTCTGGTATTTACCACCCCCCCCCAGCCCACTCCCCACCTTTTAAGCAAAGGCTGAGCCAGACCCAGGCCCCACCCACTGCAGGCCACCCAGACTCCTCCCCCTCCCCACCCCCTGGGATACCCAGGCAAGCCCAACGGGCCCCCCCTCGGAGGGAAGCCCTTTGCCCGGGGTGCCAGGCGAGGAAGCCAGTGGCCACAGCCCCCCAGCGAGGACTCGGGGCGGCAGGGCCCTGGCACCTCCAGGCTCAGAGTGGACACAGTGCAGACTCTGCGATTGCATTTCAGCTTTATTTCACTCCCAGCCGAGCTCAGAGATAGGTCCGGACCACGGGCGCCAGGGAGCGGGCCTGGGCACCCCACCTAACCCGGGTGGGGGGCTCTCTTGTCCACGCCTGCCTGCCTCGTTCACCTGGGGGGTCCCCCAGAAACCGCCTCCTCAGCGAGGGCCGCATGGCAGAGCCGGAGCCCGGGCAAGGGGCTGCGGGCAGGGGCCAGCTATTGCTCCTGCAAACAGGCCTCTCCCGGCTCCACCTCAGCGCCCCGGCGCCGGCCGCGGAGGCCCCCGGGGCCCAGGCCTTGTCCAGGGCCTGGCCCCAGTCGCCCTGGCTCCCCACATTCACGGGCTGTCTGGGGCCCCCGTTGGGACTCCGCGTTCCCCAGCTTCCGGTCCACGCGGTGTCATTGGCTGAGGGAAGGGGTGAGAGGGGGCTTCTCCGGGTCCTGCACCTCGAGGCCTGAGGGAGAGGCTCGGCTCAGCTCAGGCCCGCGCCCTCGGGGACTGCCCCCCGGACCTGCCCACAGCCCCTCCGTGCCCTCCGCTCCCCCTGCCCCCCGGCTGCACCCCGCGTGGAACGCTGCTCCCCACTGGCAACTCGGCCCGTGTTCACCTCCCGTCTGTGCTCCGACTTCGCCCCTCCCTCGGCCACCTCGGGCACCTAATTAACTGCGCCCGCCCAGCGCTCCGACCTCAGTGCCCAGAGCAGCCACTTCCCAACACGCTGTCTGAACCACCAGGTGCCCGACAGCGGAACAACAGCGGATGCAAAGGCTTCGGGCGGAAAGAGCATGAAATACCCGGCAATGACCGCGTGTTAAAGGCAGCGCTCCGGGCCTATCGGGTTAGATACCATGCCATTAGGCTTACCTGACTCTGCTTTCCCTGCCGAGGCTGCCAGGAGCTTTTAAACTACACGCAGCTCACGTCTCATTTCTCTGGGGCTATTGCATCACTGCCATCCTCATGCATATGGCTTACCGCCTGCCCCCTACCCACACCGTTCCCCGTCGCCCCCCGCTGGCACACCCCTGGCCCTGGGAGGGGCTGTTTGCCCCGTGGGTGAAGGGGTGAGTGGGCACTGCCAGGGCCACACGCAGGGCAGACGCCCCCTCACCCTCTCGGCCGGCGCCTGCTTCCTGTTCCGCCAGGGTCTCAATGGAGCCGTCCCATCCCGCGCCAGGTCCTGGGGGACACAGGGCAGCTACTGGGCCGCAGGGACCGGACCCGGGGCAGGGGGAGCCCCTCCCCCAGGAGCCGCCGGGCGATGGAAGCGGGACCCGGGCCTCACCTTTGCCCTGGGAGCCCGGGTGGCGCTGTCGGAACCGCTGCCGGGGGGTGTCCCCGGGGCTGAAGGACTCGGAGCTCCGCCCCACGGGGAACCTGGAGCTGAGCTTCCGCCGCCGCCCGCCCAGCAGGGCCTCGTCCCGCAGGCAGAGGGAGCTCTGGGCCCGGCGCATGGGCGCGGGGGAGGGGGACCCTGCAAGAGGCGGGCACGGTGTGGGCACAGGTGTGGGGACGGGTGTGGGCACAGGTGTGGGCACAGGTGTGGGCCGGGCGTGGGCCGGGTGTGAGCGCAGGTGTGAGCACAGGTGTGGGCACCGGTGTGGGCACAGGTGTGGGCACAGGTGTGGGCACCGGTGTGGGCACAGGTGTGGGCACAGGTGTGGGCCGGGCGTGGGCCGGGTGTGAGCGCAGGTGTGAGCACAGGTGTGGGCACCGGTGTGGGCACAGGTGTGGGTACCGGTGTGAGCACAGGTGTGGGCACGGGTGTGAGCGCAGGTGTGGGCACAGGTGTGGGCACCGGTGTGGGCACAGTTGTGGGTACCGGTGTGAGCACAGGTGTGGGCGTGGGTGTGGGCACAGGTGTGAGCACAGGTGTGGGCACGGGTGTGGGCCAGGTGTGGGCACAGGTGTGGGCACAGGTGTGGGCCGGGTGTGGGCCGGGTGTGGGCCGGGTGTGAGCACCGGTGTGAGCACAGGTGTGGGCCGGGTGTGAGCACCGGTGTGAGCACAGGTGTGGGCACGGGTGTGGGCACGGGTGTGAGCGCAGGTGTGGGCACAGGTGTGGGCACAGGTGTGGGCCGGGTGTGGGCCGGGTGTGGGCCGGGTGTGGGCTGGGTGTGAGCACGGGTGTGAGCGCAGGTGTGGGCACAGGTGTGGGCTGGGTGTGAGCACAGGTGTGGGCACGGGCGTGGGCCGGGTGTGGGCCGGGTGTGGGCCGGGTGTGGGCACGGGTGTGGGCACGGGTGTGAGCGCAGGTGTGGGCACAGGTGTGGGCACAGGTGTGGGCCGGGTGTGGGCCGGGTGTGGGCCGGGTGTGGGCTGGGTGTGAGCGCAGGTGTGGGCACGGGTGTGGGCCGGGTGTGGGCGCAGTGCGGGGCAGGGGGAGCAGAGTGAGGCAGCAGGGAAGCCGCAGGGCCGGGAGGAGGCGGCAGCGGCGGGAGGAGAGGGTCTGGGTGACGGGGCCGGGCCCTCTCTGACTCTGACGCTAACTCACTCGGTGACCTTGAGCCAGGCGCTTCCCGCCCTGGCCTCGGCCTCCTCGCCTGTCCCTGGAGTAAGGGCCTCTCACTAAAGCCCCCCCCACCCCCCGGCTCCGGGTCCGAGGCACGGGGCGGGCAGGACTGGCGGGGGCAGCGCGGCGGCGGAGGTGGCGAAGCAGACGTCCTGGGACGCGGAGCCAAGCGCCACCGGAACCATCTGGGGGCGGGCGGGCGGGCAGGCAACAGGGAGGCGAT